GACAGTCATGTCTTTTCACAGAATCAGGACCAAATGAGGTCATCTTACTTGAGATGGCAAAGGGAATTTGAGTGACAAAAAGAACGGAAACCAAATTTACCTGATGTTAATTGTTCCGTTAATCTTTTTTTCAAAGTTATGTCCTCGTTAAAAATTGATAAAGAAAATATACGTAGGTAGTTATCGGTTATCCGATTGAATGAAGTGTGCCCAGCTCTGACTTATAACATATTTGGGACCATTTCCCCAAATATCATTAAGAAGACAACTTGCTAATCCTTTCAGTAGCTTTTGCCAAAAGTGTTAAAAGTAGGAACAAGGCAGATTGTGGAAAAGTAGTTACACCTCAAAATTTCATGAATAGAGGTTTTCAAAGAAGATGATACAACTTCTGTGTGACTTGACATGATGGGAATACGATATACAATATCTCAATATAGCTCCAAGCTTTAATATCCTTATTATTTTAAGGGCATTTGCATTATAGGAACTCAGAGTCTGCAATATAGAAGTTAAGTTCACTAGAGGATTAGGAGCCCTGAGAGATTTAAAACTGACTTCTTGTTTGGAGAAACTTGAGGCTTTCCGTGATGCGAGTTTCAATAAACTGACTTACACCTGTTCTAAAATACTTTATATTTGACTTGACTTGGGTTTGACCGTCTTGTAGTGGTCAAGATCAATGTTGTGGTAAGGGTTGTAGTTGAAAGTTAATGGCTATATCAGGGTGAGGTTTGAAAAACATCACATACAAAATTCATTTTGGAGAGCACAGCAACTCCCTATATGGTCAAATCTAGTTCACAAGATACTGTCAATAAAAAAACTATAATTTGTTTCTGACTACTTAAATGTTTCAGAGAAAAACTTACAAATGAATGTCCTGACAAATGGGCTTGGGTGTGTGTCCTGTGACAGAGGGCAGATGGAGGACAAAGACGAAGGGGGTGAGACAAGGCCAACATGGAGCCACAACACCCACCAGCAAACACAAGAGAGACCAAACTAACCAGCCCTGCCCATCCAAACACAGTCCCACAACATGACAACACCATTGTGGTGGACGGAGTCTATATCTGTGTGTGTGTGCGTGAGTGAGTGTGTGTTGTCTGTCGGGTGGGGTGGTCATCTTGGTTTCCTCCAGAGAGTGAAACAAACAGGGTGAAGGAGATTCACTTCCCTTTTGGGACAGACAGATAATATTGACACAGTCTGTCACAATTACTGGCAGACTGATTCCAAAATGTTAACCAAGATGAAGGGTTTAGTGAAAGCCTGTCCAGCAAATGAACTAAATCTATGAGTACATGGGGCTTTTTACGCAATAGAAACAAATGCGTAATGAGTCCAAATTGAAAATGTATCGAAACTTTTGATCACAGTCAAAGCATCAAATAATAGGTGCGAAATTCTTTTTTTTTTTTAATCCGTCATTCCCAGATGACAGTTTCAAAAAGTTTGTTCAACTGTCCGCTGATGATCCCAATCTATTCTCCCTCCAAAAACACTGATGACCTTTTTGCTGGACTACCATAATGACTTGTGGATGTTGAGTAACAATAGATTGTACACAGAAAGTAGACCTACTGTATCCATCCATTGGCTTGTGGACAGTTGAAGCCTCAGATTTAACACATATGGAGAAAGAAGTGACCATATTTTGATATGAGGGTTGATACTCATTGCTCTGCCTCCATTCTCATCAAGGAGCTGTAGGAATGACACAATCAATCAGCTGTACATTTAAGATGTCATATTATTTTGGCAGGTTCAGTCTCACATTCATAAAATTATAGTGGATCATTGCAAATACCAAATCGTATTCCGAGTGAATTAGGGAATGTGATGTAATTTTGATAGCCCATTAAACAATTTACCTTTTTTAAATAAGGACCTTTTGATCTGACCTATTATCAAGGCTTTAGTTAGAATATTTAGTGACTTAGGATGTATTTAAAGTAGCTCTGTCTTTTTAAACCTTCTGTTGTGAAAGCCTGCTTGAAAAAATATTTTTCATTATTCTGATTTTTTAATTGTCTCTGAATTTGGATTTTACTCTCTGCTTCAACTCTTCGTCTTTTTTTCTTTGCTTTAGTCCTTTTTTTAAAAACTCTGCTGCCATTGCTGATAAGGGCATTGGCAGCAGAGTTGCAATTGCTCTTGGTATCAAAGAGAATTGCAGATTTTACAGAAATAGTGAAATGAATTACAAAAAATGCAGGGTGTCTGAACAGCTGTAGTTCACTCATAGTGAGTCATTCTCTGGGCAATAGTAATGCGTTTCCCCTCAGGTTAGAGTGATGATATCTGTAACACACAAAAACACAGTGGTGAGTCAGGAAGGTGTGGCTATGTGTTTGTCTGCATGTATGCATGTTAAAGTCCCTGTTTATCTGCTGAAACTCCTCTAAACTTGGTGTGCGTCTTGTCAGGTGATTGTCAAATGTAGGCTGGCAGATCGCACTGTTTACACACGACGCCATGGTGTGACCTCGGAGGTTGCCGGTAGCCGTGATTGGCTGCCAGCAACCAGCTCATTAAGCTGCTCACACGGGGACACTGTGCCAGAAGACACACTCTCCATTTGTTTCACAACATATGGACACAGTCGCACACACTCGTCAGAGGGACACCACAGGTATGGCAGGAGGCCACAGACACACGCCCACTCATGGATGTGCACACACACACATCACAGTTCATCAGTTTTAGAGGGGTCTGTCTGGCCTCCATGACCTGACTGAACTCTGGCTCACCCTCATTGGTTCATTACACCGCGTACCCTCACACCTAGCTGTCTTTTGGCTGGTGGACCAAACGTCAGGGTCATGACTTACAGAAGGAGAGGAGAAGAAAATAATTTGAGAACGAATGATTTGTGGGGGCATGTTAGAGTCAAGAATACAAAAACAGTGACAAATATGAGCAGAGAAGAACATGAGAAAAAGTGGAGATGATGGATGAACGTGGCTGTTTGGTGGAAATCTTAAGAAATATCAGCTTAAGAGGAACCAAGAAAACTGCCTTGATTTTATCTTGATGACTGTGTATATTTTACGTTTCTAAAATAATTTTGTCAGCAAAACTAGTAAGATCATTTTCTCAACCCAGCGAATGGGATGAAGGGAGCAGCCCATTGATGACTGTTCGGTGGAAATTCCTGTTTATTGTGACATGGGTCATTAATTTCTGTCACTGGTGAAACCATTAGCTGACTGCGTTGTAATTAAGGCTTATTATACCATTTTCCTGTCATTAGTGCAACATAGGTATGAAGCTTATAATATCTTTTTATTATTTTAAACTAATTTATTGCTCAGATGTTTTTTGGTGGCCTATAAAAGTTGTAAAAATCAGGTGTTTCTGTAAGAAATAGTTCTGTTAGGATGTTCAAAGAAAATAAATGTAACATTTATAGCAGCAAAGAGACACTTATCAATGGTAAGATGATATGTGTCTCAATTCATGTTGAAATTGGTGTAAATTATTGACTGCAATCCTGTATGACTTTTTTTTTTTCTTATGGTTCCAGAGAGGAGCTTACGGCACCAAGGAAAATAGGCTGGTAACCACTGTTTTAAAGGGATAATCTCTTAACACAAATGTAACCTGTTTCAGCACAAGTTACAGAGCTTTGAGTTGGAAAGGGTTGTTTCAGGATTTCAGGATAATGAACAAACATTTCCCCTTCATAAAAACATCATGGGGTATAAACAATCCTCTTTCTCTCATTTTCTGAATCTCCCCTCCTTCTCATGTATCTTCATGTTCAGCTTGTTTTAACTTCCACAATTAAGATATTTATTGGAGCTTCTTTTTATGACCTTCACCCTCTGGCATGACTTGTGACACGACAAAAATAGAAAGTTAAAAACAAGGATTGAAAACAGGGACAAATTTCACATGTATCCCTTCAAGCTATCTCTTCACATTGAATGAAATACATCTTACGATTTTAATATCACAGTTTCAATATTCAGGCAGCCTTAAAAGTGTGTGTTTATGAACCTCGAGGCCTGGTAAAGTGCACGCTGAGTCATCGCTCTTAAAGAAGAGAATTTTCTGACTGAATTAGCTTTGCAGGGGGAACCCCATTGCATAAATGGATGACATTTAAACTGACTCTTTCTTAAATCATATGCTGGCAGGCCTCTGTCTTGTGTTTTCTACTGCTTCATATATTTTCAAAATGTAATCTCTTTCCATCATTTTCATTTATTTATATTCCTGCTGTCTTTCCCTCTTCACTGAGAGGTTTCAGCTCACTTTACCCTCTCTGGGCCTTTCTTCGTCTCCCTCTCTGCCGTTCATCTTCTCTCCATTCCTGGACTGACAACCCCCCCCCCCCCCTCCCTCGTCTCTCTTTCACCATATGATACTTCTCTGTTGACGTGTCCGTCTGCAAGTTCCTATAGCAACTAGACATTTCTGCTGACCCCTGCCTTGCTTTGCGTGACAGAGCTGCAGGACGTTCAAACCAAATGAGGGTCTATTGTATGAGTGCATGTACACAGTTTAACACACACACACACACACACACACACACACACACACACACACAGACACACCATTTTAAGCACATGCGCTCAAATGCATTAAGTTGTATGAGGTTCGTTTGGGATTTTATTATTCAAACAACTCAAAACCTTAAAGAAAACTTTACATACTGAATACAGTCAAAGAAAAGTAAACATGTGATGAAAAAACTCAAACTTGAATGTTAATCAATTGCAGATAGGAAATGTATAAAAGTTTATTGATGTTTAAGTTAAGATTGGAGCATCAGATTAAGCTCTGCAACATCCAAACCTTTGGTTTTTTTAATATGTAAATTGTACTTTTAAACCTATGCTGTATGGTTGCAAAACAAAGACCCAAATGTAACCATATTCACTTGTGTGTCCATTCACCACTCAATCATAAACATACACATGCATGCACATGCATGCACATTCAAATACCCACAAACACATACAACATGAAACACAAGCACAACTGTATATTTGTTGAATATTTTGATTTTTTATTAAAAATAACATTCATAACAGTAACAATTGTACAACCAATAATTATAGTCTGAGACGTCTGCAACAATAATTACACTTGAGAACTGGAGGACATCCTCCTTTTTTTTAAATAAGTTAAGAAATAAAGTTTTTCATCTCCTCCACAGAAATAATTTTCTAGAAGCATTTTTACATACAGTGTTGGCTATAACTGGCTCACAGCGTTCTCTAGAAGCCAGGTCTTTAAGACTTGCTTTAATGTGGATAATCATAGCATGTTTTCTAGGCAGGCATTTGGTTGGTATTCCATTTGGATCTGGCAGTAGTACAAAATGAGCAGGTTATCAATATTTTCCAGTACATTAAGCTACAGTACACAGTAGAGCACTCCTCTAGTCAATGTAGTATGATCAGTGTATGGCTACTCCAGTGTTAGATAAAGTTAGATTCAGACATTGTAGGATAACAGTAATGTTTGACATAGATGCTTGAGCTGAACACTCTCGTTTCCAGTTATCATCCCAGTGTAGGAATCCCATTTTCCATGATTCCAGTTTCATCTTGAGCTCCATATTTAGACCCCAATTATGACTTCTTAGTAAAATCATAGTCCACCATTAATGGACCCTTCAGTAGTTGAGTTAGAAGTCCAAAGTGTTCAAACCAGTCAATTTCTGGGAATCTGATCAGAATCAGTCCACTTTAACTGGATTTGTGGTTCATACAAAAAAAACATCCAGTGTTTAGTTTGTCAGAGATCCTCCATTTCAAGGAGTTTATAAGATTGCACTTTTACTATATCCATCAAGCTTGATGCTCTGTGGCGGCTCTGAAGAAGGAGAGATGACTCTCACAGAAGCTTTCCATTGAAAACAGCAGAGGTGTCCATCATTCATTTGTCCACAGAGTCATATTCCCACAAGTTTCTCCATATTCCTTTGGTGCAATGAGTCCTTCCAAAGCTTCTGGTAAGCTTGACCATTTCCTGTGTGAGGGGAAAGTATGATAAATATCTTTGTCTTTGAATTTTCTTCCATATTAAAAAAGCAAATGCGCCTAACCATCTCAGGTTGCTATGTCAGGACTATCAACTTTTTTTATCAATCCATCAGGCTTATTCAATTACCTGCAGCTCTACATGATCATGGCTCTGATGGCTGACTTGCTAATGCGTTTGCGGTGTTTCCTCCTCCTGCGGCGAGGCGAGGCTGGTCGGAACGGGGTCTGCCGTGCTGAAGACATGACAGGAGACACTGTGGAGAGCACTGAAACAAACGAAGAGAAAATAGAAGAAAGAGCACAATTAATATACCACATTTTGAGGGACAAACCTTCAACATTAGCTCATATATTTTCTCGACTTCCTGCTTAAACATGCTTGTTAAAGTTGGGGGGGGGGGAGGGAAGGCCATGGTGTTGTGTTTTGCTCTAAAAACTTGGGTACCAGATTAAGAATACGCAATCTTTTCTTGACTGTTTTGGAACCAAGATATCATAAACAAATAAAAACAACCTAGATTAAATAATAATAGAAAAAGTGTAATAACTTCTCAACAGATAAAACACTAACTGGTGCATTTAATGAGTAAGGCCTTCCCTTCACATACACTAGCAGTACAAAGTACCAGTGAATAATAAAAACTGGGTGAGGTCTGTCTAACAGAGCCAGTGACAGCCTGTAGGTAAAAGTCAAACATGAAACAGTGGGAAATCCAGCTCTCTGACTATAGAGTTCTCAGGGGATGGTAGAAGAATAGCAGGACACATGTAGCCCAATGTTTAGTCATACATGTTCAGTGGGCTGCTTCCTGCCTAGGAAACTCGCCTCTACTTCCCACAAACATTAAGAACTATAATAAGGAATGCTCTGACAGAAAAATACACACGACTGCTGTAATGAAGAGGTAGTAGTAGTTTCCATCCCAGTGATGCATTCATTGTAATAAACATTACTTGTAACTTTGAGCTACTGCAGTTCTGAAGAGGGCTTTCTTCAATCTGAGAATATAATGTTGTTGATGTTATAGTTGTATCATCAGGGTTTTTCTCAGATTGAACTCATTCATTTAATTGGAAGCCTGTGTTATAAGCTCGGGGCTCGGAGTGAAAAGTGATGGTCAGGAAAGCTTGCGTTTCTTTTAGAAAGAATGTTGGATCCAGTGTTTTTAGACCTTGAACCAAACTTGTTGCAAAGCTGAATTATATTTTCTTTATTTTGACCTGAGAAGTTGGACTCTACTAATTCCCAGTTGGACATTTTATTTGAATGTCCCCTGAAGTCAGTTTTATGACTCAGAAGGTTGGGAGCACTGCATGTATAAAACCTACAAAATCTAAGTTTAAGCGAATCATTTTACCAAACACAGTTAACTCTGGTGTGACGTAATGCTCCTCAAAAGAGGACACTGACATATAAAACACCAAAGTAACCAGTGACCATCAACCACACAGCTGATCAGTACCTGTTTTAAATGTGGTCGGTTTTGGACTTTGCTGAGGATGATGAGGATGAAGATGAGTCTCTCGTTCCAACTCCCTCTGTATAGTCTCCAGAGTGAGTCGCCTCCTCTCCTCCTCTGTCAAATGACCATACCCACTGATAACTTTTGAGTCTTTTGTCTTCCCCTGATTTGCCAGCTCTACCCCGGCCCCACTGTTTGCTGACCCACTCTCCTCCCTCTCATTCCCTTCTTTCTGACTGGCCGTTGCAGTCTCAGTCTGTTTGTGATTTGTGACCTCTGTTGTAATTTTTTGGGTGGACACTGAGTCTTTCTGATTGGTGGTGAGAGGAAAGGTGGGGTTAAAATCTAATGTGGGCAGTGTGGTTGGGGGGGCAGGTGGAGAGGCGCTGTCTGATTGTGGAGCGTTTAGTCGATATTGTGTCCTCAACTCTTGCTCCTGTGCTGCTGCAGGGTTGAACTGTGTTGGATAATGCGGCTGTTGATGATACTGATATTGTTGCTGAAGCTGCTGCTGTCGTTGCTGATGCTGCAACAACTGTTGCTGTCTTTGCATGTGATCTGAATGATGAACCTCCCCTCCGCTGTTTGCTACTTGTGCGCCACTTTCCTCCTTGCCTCCGTCAAACCCGCTGCCGTGCCCGATAGATTGTGTACTTCCCATGATGCTATGCTCTGCCCTGGCTTCAGATGGCCAGCTGCTTACTGGCGCGAGCACCCCAACGATTGGTTGGTGCACCCCTGGCTGCAAGTGCGTTGGCATTTGGTTCACCCTGGGTTGTGTCCAGTGAACCAGCTGGGTGTAACTGCCCTGCTGCCACTGCCTCGCCACTGGATCTCGCTCCTCAGGATTGTAGTGCTGCTGGTTGTGCTTCAGGTCATCATGGCGATGAAGGTCGGCCTTAGAAGAATGAGTCTTTGGAGGAGAAGGGTTAACAGGCCGCAGGAGGTGGGAGGACTGGGGAGGCTGCTGTGGTGGAGGTGGGTTGGGGTTGCTTAAAATAGGAGGCCGAGGAATCGAAACAGAAGATGAGGATGAAGAGGATGAGGAAGATGAAGGAGCTTGGCACCGGCAGGTAACGTGGTCATCCACTGAGATGATGGCTTTGTCGTAGTGGGGTTTCCTGTTTATGTACTGGATCTTATACACCTGGTACAGAGGCAGAAAGAAACAGAAAATTGTATACTATTAAAATGTATATCTCTAATGAAGTTTCTGTTTCCTGATATGCTGGAAAAAAGTACTTTTTTTAAAGAACCAGGAAAAGCATCAAGTTGTTTCATTCTAATTAAATGCTGTAAAGTAGCTATGTATTTTGGCAATGAGGGGCATGAAACTATTGGCAAAGCAATCTGACTGATTGGAGACATGTCCGGACAAGCTTAACAATTCAGCAAAATTAGGTGGCTTCTTTTGCAAAGGTATTAAATTTAACATTTCTATAATTTTGAATGTTGAATTGCATCTTTTTAAGGCTATATCATGTATAAAGGTCTGCAAATTTCTGCTTGTATAAATGTACAAGGATATGCATGTTAACGTGCAATTTCTTAACAAGCAGGGTTAATTATAACTTAACAAGCAGGTGTTAAAAGTGCAATCAGAGCTTCTCAGTGTTTTACTGCTTTGCACCCACAACTGAAGAGGTACGCAATTACTTTGCAGAGACGGAGAAGGAAAACAGTAACAATCTAGAGTAGTTTTTTCAAAAGTCCAGATTGTAATGTGTATTAAAAATTCTTCCAAACATCCTCACCATCTGCAATTTCTACCAAGTTTGAGAATTTGTTCTTGATTTTGGTAAATATGAAAAAAAGTATAATCATGAAATCCTGTTTATTGCCATGGCAGCTGTAACTTCTGTGTACCTGTAGTATCTGCTGGAAGTGACTATGGGGACACACTGCAGTACCCTGGTGTTGCAGCATCCAGAACATCGCTGCACCTCCACGCAGGGTGGCCACAATATGAAGTTGGCGTTGCGGCGATCTAGCATGGACCTTGTCACCTCCATCACCTCTGTACGAACTTTACACGCAGCCTGCTGGGCCATCGGCGCCTCCACTGGGAGGGAAAGGAGAGGGGGGAAGAAAAGAAAAGAATAAGAGGGAGTATTTTATGATTATGTGTATTTTAAGAGGTGTTGAGAGGCAGATGGCAGAAACAGACGAATACAAAAAAAGACTCTAAATGCAGACAGGAAGGGACAGAAATAGATGTCGAGACCTACCCAGACTTCTTGTGTAACGTCCATGGGTGTGGTTGGAGGGTATATCATGCTCGTCTTCTTCCTCTGCTACAGAAAAGGGGGTAGGGGAGGTTTGGGGAGAATTGAAACACAATCAATAACAGAGAGTTATTAAGTTAACTGATTTTTATTTTCCCACAGATAATTGGGAAACACTGAGCCAGCACTCTAACAAGCAATGACAGAAATCTGTGAAGCATATTGGGGTTTTTGGGCAGATTTTCAAAAAGCTCATTGTTCACTGGAGAAAGCGAGCCAATTCTTTTTCCTGTCTCTAAAACAATTAGGCTATTTTCTGCGGCTACTTGTCCCAGCGCTGTCAAGACCACTGGTGAAGAGAGATATGAGTTGTTAAATATAGCTCTTGTGTGAGTGTGTGTTTGCACTATAACATATGTTGTCATTCCATACGGTAGCAATTAGTCCTAATTATATCTCTGCTGCAGATTGCCATCGGTCACTTTGTGTGTCTAACACACGGAAGCAAAAGATGTAATTATGTTGCATTTTATCCGTAATTAACTGCCTGGTCAATAAAGAGAGAAGTTTTTCATTCTTCAAAGCAGCTTTTTAATAATTCTATCTTAGTATTTATCTCTAAAAGTTTTCCAAGGCTCCCTCTTTCTTTTTCTTTCTGCAAAGAAGTCAGCTTATAAGAAAGAAGAAAGAAGAGAAAGTCTTCTCTTTCTCAAATTTATGTTATTTGAAAAAAAAAAAAAAAACACACATAACAATCATGCTATTAAGCGACTAAGGTTACATTGGATTGGAAAGCTTTCCATTTTGAACTTATTTGCCTTTGATTGTAAATGTATATGAGAAGGGTAGCCACAGGACTACCAATCTGAAGCCTCTAGTTTGGGATTGTGGCCATCATCATGTTGGATTTATGGAGCCACATATTTTATGTCGTACAAAATTTACATCAAATAATTCCTCAACAACACAGACACGGCCAAAATGTTCACTTACTGAATTAGCTGCTGATGCCTAGCAGACCAATAGCAGCATCCACCTTTTACTCAACATGCAACCCCTTGATATGCAGACTAATACATATACAGGCGAGTTGTAAACAAATTTAAGCCACGGTGACCATTTTTTGTTTTGTTTCTGGCAGTAAATACTGCTTCAAATAATTGCATTAAATGAATCATTAATCACTTCCCTCAACAAGACAAACCTGAAGTTTTTTATTGATACAAACTGAGTCACTTCCTCATGTCCTGTTTCTGAGGATCCTTCCCTTTGAGGGTTCCTCTCTTTGGTCGTAGTTATGTCACTGTGTTGTTTTTGCATTAAGGAATGATCAAAGAACTCCCCATTAATATATGTATGTGTTACCCTGTTCCTCAGAGTGATAAGATTAATGAATTTTTTAATCAGCTGCCGGTTGTTTGTGCATGTGTCTGACTGTGTGTGTAAGTTTGTTTAAGACTCTGGGGGTATGAAGAGGTGTTTGTGTTGTCGGTGTGTTTTCGGTGTGTGTGTTTGTGTGTGTGTGTGTGTGTGTGTGTGTGTGTGTGTGTGTTGGGGGGCTCTAACGGTCACACAAACGCACACATTTATATTTCAAAACTTGGAACAGAATAAAGAGCAGGAGAACAATGCAGCAACCTTGTGCTGGAAGTCTCTCTCTGCAATAGTTTAACCAACACACATCAAGGTCAAAGCTTCTCTCTCTCTCTTTCTCTCTCTCTCTCTCTCCCTCATCAAGCTAGCTCATCATTCTCGCTTCTGTCTTGAGCAAATATTGCCTTAACATGGGGCTTGGCATGCTGTTGCGTTCCTATCCCCTCGGGCCTCTGTGGACACACCCACACACTTACCTCCTCCATGTCTGTGTTATTAGTGAGTGTTTGTATGGAAGTATGTGTCTTTGTGTGTGTCTTTCTTTGTGTGTGTGTAGTGGTGATTCGTACCTATTATATTGGTCTCCCGCTGCAGTAGAAGCTTCAGGTCGTCCACAGAGGAGATAGGAGAGTTCCTCACCAAGTCGACCAGCGACGTCGGGAGAGGATCACCCTGTGAATTCACATGTTGAGAACATTTGTAATGCATTTCTACCTTTACATTCGAAAACATGATATAATGTGTGCCAATAAAGTTTTAGTTTTTATTAGAATAAACAGAGTTGATGTTTATGTCCAGATTTTGGAAATTTTAATCTGTTGTATCTGATCTGCTATATACTGACTGTGTGCACCGTAAGTTGTTTTATGGACATCAAGAGCCATCTTTCAACCTATACGTTATGTTTCATCTTCTCTATTTGCATCTGCTATTTACAAACCACAAAAAAATAAAGTAACAAATACTTTTCAATGACCTATTTCAAAATCCCTGTAAAATCAGGTATAACTTGCCCAGTTGAACTATTCTAATGCTTATTGCAAGATCCTAGAACCCAGACTGGCTTCTTTTTTTCAACATACTATCAATAACTAATAATAAATTGCAGCTCTATTTTATTTTTCAGCCTACTTCTCAAGTCCTCAGGAGGACCCATCCTTTATGGGCTCCATCCTCAAGAGGATCCAGGCTCAAAACAACGACACCATTTCCAATAGAGACCAGGAGTGACAAGGGGAAAGAACATTAAGGCGCAATGTCAACTAAAGGAGCAATATGTAAGATATCTATTGAATTACAGCATACAATTGCCTTACTATATCATCAGACATTGAGGAAACATGCTATGATGAAGTGCTGGCTTAATTGTCAACAACGCAGCAGCCAGTGTGACAGACAGTGTGGAATGATCTTTATTTGTTTTGACCAGAGAAGGTAGGCAGTTTTAAGGCACCCCCGCAAGCCCCTCAGTTTGCCTGATATGAAGCCAGTTTTCACGGCAAACTAACAGTTGTTGCAGCGATGGAATCTGGCAAAAAGCCTCTGCATATTTCGAATAAGCTCCACGACCAGAAAATGTATCATAATTAATAGCTAATAGTAGGAAGGTATTGCATTGATCTTTGCTCACCCTTAGGCTCTGAAAACAAAAAGGGAAAAAAAAGAAAACGTTTGAGGAAAAGTAAAAGACACTGCGAACTGAGAGAGAAACATGTAGACAAAGAGACCTGGTGTATAGTATCTCATTCCTCATCTCCAGTCAACACTTGCTCCAGTTTCACTTCCTCCTGCAGAGGAAATGATGGTTATGATGGGTGTTTGTTGCTGCTGTTGTCACTCTCTCCCTGTTATCTGTTTACCCACAAACACCATCCTGCTGCTCCTGGTATAACACAGGAAATTAGCCCTTTTCGCTCTCTCTCCCTTTTTCTCAATGCAACTGCAGTTCAGTTCATCACACTGAAGCACATAATTTCGAGAAAATGTCACTATCTGGAGCAAATGAAGTCTACGATTGTTGTTGTTTGTTGTTGCTGATTAATGTTCTAAAACATTGGATTCCATTAGCAAAATGATCAACATGTTCAAAGAGCAAAATGCTGTCGGGTCTGTTTTTTTAATCAACAAGTTATGCAAGAAGTTTATTATATCTTAAGAAAGAGAGTGAGTTAATTAGATTTGAATGAATGCCATAGCAGGAATTCATTAAGGATTCAGTGTGGTTGGTTTTAAGGACAGACTCGTGTGGTTTCTGTGACAAGATCAAAGGCAGATTACTCAGTGCTCTGTGTCACATTTTGCTCTTTGCTGGGCTGTAAATTGATACAATCTCAGAGCGCTTGGAGCATCACTTGATACAGTCACATGCCACAGAGATGCCAAAACAAATTAAGGAGTGTTAAGAATGTGAGACGAAAATATTTGGGCTTACTTGCTAAGATGCCAGGAAGAAAATGTTCAATGCTTATCGGCTCACTGCAATCATTATGCAATATTTATGACTATGGATATTACATGTTTACATTATCTTAAAAGTAAACATCTGTAAAAGGCTTGGTCCTCAAAGGAAAGGAGAAAACGAGACTGAAACTATAAAACACAGTTAGTAAGATACGTTTCAATCCAAAAATGGATTTTAAAGAGGACGATACTGGCATATACTGAAATATGACAAACGTGCATGTTGCACTCTATTGTTGTCAAGATTGTCTTATGAAGTAATCAAAAGCTTAGGAAAACTGTTTAATCACTTGAGGACTGTTTGTTGTTCGTTGTATTAAATGTTCAGGTTTATATTTCATCAAACCTGTGTTACACAAAATCAACAATGTTAGGCCAAACAACAATAATACCAACAGCATCTCTACCACTACTTTCTCTAACATTCACACCAAGTATCTATGCAGGCACTCACCCAGGCTCTGATAAGACAGCAGGTAGTTACTGTTTACCCAGAATGAGTTGTAGCACCGGTTAACCTCACCTGAACTCTCTTTAGCCACATATAGCCATGTTAAAGGCAGCATATGCATTTGAAAATGTTTATTAAAACTTATTGAGAGTGATTATTCTAGATCGACAAATTACTAGAATACTGCTAGGGTAAAAGGCTTGGTCTGAAGCAACTGCTAATTAGAGCTTTGAACACTCAGAGAGCTGTTTAAAAATTACAATAGAAGTCATCTTAGGGCTATAGGACAATTAGATTGCCATGGTGTATTATTAGGTGAGTTTAAGATCAAATCTATACAAAATATTCAACCCATCTACAAAAACTTGCAAAAAACATCAACTAGGAATTCTGATGAAGTTCCATCCGCACGTCTTCATTAATCAAATAAAGGGTGCGGGACCTTCTCTCCAGTCACATGCTTTTAAACTATTGCAGAAGAAGAGAGCTGTCAGGCAACAAATAAAAACATTTAAACAATGACATTCGTTTCCTCTATTGTTGGATTTGGCAATATGTAATATTAGACTATGATAAGTCATGAGCTAAAGTCCGTCAGCCATGACGCAGGTTCCAAAGTAGCCTTTTGTAGTATTACTGCCTGTATAAGGCAAATACTGTATAGTGACTCAATGATGGTGGTTCCAGAGTTTGCAGCCTTTGATGGAGAAGGCTGATTGACCAAACGTAGATCTACGATGTTATATGCTGCAGTTTCCATTCACAGTGCTTCTTGTTACCCTGTTTCCGTCCTGTCTTTGAACATATCTGGAGAGAGGTTCAGGGGCCAGATTGTTGATACATTTAAAAACAAAACTCTCAAAACTGAGTAGATTGTGTTTTTTCAGTATGTGACAGTAATGCCACCGGACAGGTTTTTTGTCCATTATTTTCAGGGCCTGGTTGTATAGTGATGAGAGGTTTCTGATTGTAGAGGGTGAAGCTTGTGACCAAACTGTCATACAGTATGAGAAATGAGAGAAAATCACTGAATGCATGAACACCTGTGCTGCTTGAGTTGGTGTGTAGTGTTATTAATTATATAATTATATAATTACAATTATCAGGTTGTTCTTGATTGTTTTTGTCATTTTATTTACGTGTTTATCAAACTTGAGTTGTGGATCTACAATGATTCCTAAGAGCTTAAACTCACTAACTTCCTCTATTTCTCTATTCTGTATCTTAACGTTAAAACTTCCAGGTGAGCACTTTTTCCTAATGGAGAAACACATTGAAACTGTTTTACTCTGATTCAAAACAAGATGGTTGCATTCCAGTCACTGATGGACATTGCAAAGGTACTCAGTCAGGATCTCAGCTGCCTTGCTTGGTGACTTAGCAGGAGAATATATGACTGCATCATCTGCATAAAGCTGGAAGCCGGCTACTGCACAGGATTTAGGCAAATCATTTATAAACAGACTGAAAAGCAAAAGGCCAAGAATTGACCCTTGGGGAATACCCATTTTATTGATTAAAGGAGAGGATTTTTCTTGGTCAACTTTCACACACTGCTCTCTATTCTGAAGGTAAGACTCAAGTTTGTTCTTACAAAATGAAATGAATGTGAATACAAGCCATATACAATTTCAAAAACGTTCACTTTAAGGGGTTATTTCATGCCTAAAATGTATCAAAATTGACAATCAATTAAATTCTGTATCTGTTTATTTTTGTGTTTCTTTCCCTGACTAACTGTATAAAACACTGTTAAGTTAAATATCCTTCTAATATTGTGTACTTCAGATCAAGACCTATGGGAAAGGGAAGGGGGAAAGTTTTTTGTTTTTTTTAAGTATAATTGCAGGACAATGCTATTTACGTTTTTTGTTGTTGTAGTCACCATGATTTCACCATTTTTACTGTTCCTGAAAAAGATAACCTGATCATGTACAGTTATTGAAATGGGACTTTTTGTAATTTGTAGAGGTATTTTATTTTAGATCACACTATGGATGTTTTCTACACTAGCAGTAGGTCCATTTTTTCTGTTCCTACATCATTTCAGAGATGCCTTTGAATATCATTTCATGACTTATTCATGACATGTTTCCATCATCTGTCTGCCTCCCTTTCCCTCTTCTTCTCTCTCCCTCTCCCTGTCTGCTTTGTGGGCGGTGGCGGCGCAGGACACCTGGATGACTTTCACGAGCCATTGGCTGACCTAGTTAAGCAAACACACATGCACACTTGCCCCCTCTTTTCCAGTTCACACACAGATGCTTAACCACTTAACTGTCTGCCCAATTTGTCCTGAGAGCCTTGCACACTGAAATGTATATACACACACACACACACACACACACACACACACACACACACACACACACACACACACAGAGGCCGTTTTCACTCTGTAAAAACCTGGGACTATGTTAATGGAAAACACACAAAATATACAAGCACAAACACGTAGAAATTAAAGAGAGTAACTCAGAGACAGCATAGCTTCTGACATGCACAAACACCAAACCACACAGTAAAAAAAAGACCAAGAGCTAGAGAACAAGCTAATAATAGTGAGCTATGTTACCCAGAATGGATCTGACATACAGTACAGTTCCTTATTTACCAACCTACCAACACACACGCACACACATGAACACAAAAATAGAGCTCTGTTGTTTGCTCATTTTTACAGCAAGCCAAAATTAACTTTCTTATCTGTCCTACACTGGGTGAGTGTGTTTCTAATGTTTCATGTTAAGTGGACAGTCTG